GTTTACCCTGCTGCCGTGGTTCTGGGCTTTGAGGCGGTACGGAACTTATTGGCTGCGCAATTTCAGGAGAGGCCGTTTTACTGGATACGCGTCCGGCTTTAACCCGCAAGGCATTGTCCTCTACCTTGCAGTATTCTTCAACTTTCTTCATCAACCCCCAGACCGTTTTGGGGGGTCTTCTGGTCAAGGAACTGCGGAGGGCACTGTCAGGTTGCAATCCCATTTTGAAGGCGGTGATGGCCATGGAGTCGTTGCAAGCGTCGTCAATAAGATTAAAGCATTCCCAATAGCGCGCCAAATATGCTCTCAGTGTTTCTTCAGGTTGAATTTGCATCGCCTAGAGTCTGCTTGTTTCGGCTGGACCTCGTTGGTGATAAATCTGGCCCTGAAGGACTTCTGTAATTGATGAAAGCTTTTGACCGAAGCCGGCTCCAGTTTGTAATACCACCTGACTGCCAGAGGTCCCAAGCTGCTGGGGAATATTCGGCACATGAGGGCCTCGTTGTCTGCATGCAATGTCATAGCTTGCTTGTAGTGACGGATGTGATCGGTGGGGTCTGATTTTCCATTGTAGAGGGTAAATGATGGAGCTTGGAACTTCTTTGGCAGAATTGCCCTTGCAATCTGTCGGACAAAGGGATCATGCTGATCTTCTTCATCCGAACTGTTTCTCCTGCGCTTATTCCTTGTTCGTAGACTTTTTTTGGAGGAGCTGGAGGTTTCGGATCGTCACAAAATGATGGTAAAAATTCAGTTAGGGGGTATGATTTTAAGCCAAACATGGCTAAAATTATGAACAATGCACATTTGATGAATTTGAATTTTTTGACATTGTTAATTTTGCTAAAAATTTTTAATTTTCTAAAGTCAATTGACATTATGATTTCTGTCATTCAACAACTATAATGGCTTTGTGGTTCACATCAAAAAATAATTTTGATGAAGTGGTTTACAAAAAGAAATTCTGAATTTTATTTCTATTTTTTATATAATAGTAGTGGGGGAGTATTTTGATGTGGCCACAACAACAAAAAATTATATATATATGGCTAATCGATTATAATTTTCATACTTTCTATTATATATTTATGTTCATACAACTTTTCAAGAATTTGAATACTCATTCTTAAAGAGTTGGGGGTGCATTATTTGCACCATAAATAAAATTTCTGTTGATTATAACTAGGTTTAAACTTATTATTATTATTATTATTATTATTGTTATTATTATTATGATTATGTAGGAAAATCTTGAAAGTTAAGAGAAATTAAGTCAAGTTTTGAAGATCCAAGAGATGGAGGACAAGTGGCAATGTAAGAAGGTGAAAATTATATGGGTGGTTAGATGATAGTTAATAGAAGTTTTTTTATACATTTTCCTTGTATAAATTGCCATTGATGGCTCTATTGTAAAGGGGGACCAACAAATCAATACATGACTTGATTTTCATTTATTTTCTATCCTATGAGTAGATCTAATCTACATAGGAGTAGTCTAAAGTTAAATAGGAGAAGTCTTAATATACTTTATTGTGTGGAAGTGGTTTGGAAATACCTTTCGGATCCTGGGGGACGCTAGGAGTCCTCAGATAGTCACCTGAAAGGAAATAAACACTCCGACGTGGGTGCCGGAATTAGCACTCCGACGGAGAAGTCAGTCTCAAGCTCTAGGTTATTTGTATTCTAAGTTAAACAAGGAAATTCTTACCCTTCTTTTTTCTGCCCCTATCTTTATCTGTAGTTCTTGTATTTATACTTGTTTCCTGGGCCTCGGGGCCAGGGCCTACTATTGTCCTCTCTCATATTCGGCTCCATGGATTTACGCTTATCCGGCCTATCTATTGTTTTCGGCCTTCTGAGCGTGCCGGATAACGCCGAATAGTGTCTGTTCTGCAGAGTATGTCTTCCCGGCATTGCTAATTATTCGGCTCCCATATTTACTTATATTTGATTGTTTATACAATCATTTACATCATCATCTTTTTCTTTTTTCTCTCTTTTTTCTTGTTTGTTTTGTCATTATTTGTACTCCAAGGAAGTCCTTGAACTTTCAAGGCATAGAACCTCAACACAATTACTTGATCATTGTGTTGTTTGGTGAGATTTTGGTTAAGGCTCTGTCGATCGAGGCCTAACAAAAATTTTACTAACAGATATACATAATTTTAAGACCAATCACTTGGTGAAAAATAGGATAAGGGTACTATCTTTCAATAATACTAGGCATCATAAAAGAAATATCATGAAAAGTCTTCATGAAGATATTGTTGGAAAAAAAAAAAGTTTTTTAGTGACTTTAATGTGAAATTAAAGTAGGTCCCAACCATTGGTTGAGGTGGGATTAAATGGGTCTAGATTCTTTGTAACAAAGTCTTTACACCACAAAAAAAAAAAAAAAAAAAAAAAAAAAGAGACCAAAACAGTAAGGCGGCTAATATGTTTTAAGGACACTGTGGTATTACATAGAATTTGATTTGATCCTTTGTTTTCCTTATTTCAATTCCATACGTCTTTCTATTAATCATGGTTCATGTTATGTAAATCAACTGATTAATTTTAATCTATTTGTTTTGTTTAATTAGCCTATATGAATAACAGATTCTCCACCCTTAGATTAGTTCATGAAACTTTTTCATAATATTTATTTCATGATGCGTAGTATTACTCTTTGTCTTCTCTAAGAAATAGGCAAAATATTGAAAATTTATTTTTGTATTTATTTTAACAATTATAGTATGTAAGAAAATTTTCTATAAAATGAGTAGGTAACAAACAGATCATCTAGACCACAAATGTGAATTGTCATCACATTTAGGGATCGGCTTACTCTGTTTTGTCAAATTTATATATTTTGATTGGAATTATACACTTTTCAGTGCAGAGTCCCTGTTCAGTTAACTAAACCGTTGAAAAAAAAATTGAATGATACACAAGGCCTCAAAGTCTCACAAGTCAAAACTTTTGACATTGGATTAGTTTGAATACCAGAAAGTATACTGCTGAAATTTTTTGATAAATACGAAATTAGTGTATTAGAATTGGTTATTTTTTAACATGAATCCGATTATGAAAAATAAACGGATTAACATGAAAGATTTATCTCTTTTACAACCATTATAATCTCTACAATCACATTCACAATATAATCTTTTTTAACTGTTATTTATTTATTTATTTATTTTTAAAGACGGTGATCGACAACTATTAATGAGGTTGATCTTGTTGTGCCTAGGAAGCAGAAAACAATCACACACAAACACACAAGCAACAACACACAAAGATTTACGTGGTTCGGCAATGGACCTACATCCACGGGCAGCGAATTTCACTATATAGAGAGAAATACAAAGATTACAACAATGGAGAAGAAGGAAGAGACAATACTCTCACTCTACTCACTCACACTCACTCAATTGCTTACACTCTGATTATGTTGGAAAATATTGGTTTTTAGGCAACTTTAATTCGAAATTAAAGTGGGACTCAACCGCCGGTTGAGGTGGGTTTGAGTGGTTTTGTATTCTCTCAAATGAGAAGATTACAATATAAAAATGATGGACCGAAACCATTGAGTTGTGAATGAGAATTGTCTCATAAAGTGGGCATCAATAGAAGTTGGGTTTAGATTTGGACTTAGTCTTAGTTTAGACTGGGCCTAGACTTGTACTTGTGCTTGTGCATGTGTTGGGTTTGGTCTTGGACTTAAACTTGGACTTAATCTTAAGCTTGAGCTAAGCTATGTTGTGTTGGGCTTAGCTTGTGCATGTGTTGGAGAATGGGGTTTGGATCGGGTTGTAACCCAACATTGGTATCCATTGTGTGACCCATCTAGTTGGTTTATTGAAACATCATTATATACATATTTATTTGTATATATTAAGCACATAAGGGGTTTAGACCTTTGTAACTCTCATCTTTTGATGATAGAGTTGAGGACCATATTAGTGGCCATAAGTTTTCAACCTGAGTAACTCTAGCTTTCACTACAAAACAATTGACTTTTTGCGACGACAAAATGCCGTCGCAAATACTCATAACGCCGTCTCAAATATTTTTTTGTGACGACAATTGACTTTTAGCGACGGTAAATGGGGGATCACATCAAAAGGCGTTTCTAAAACCCTTTAGCGACGGCACCATGTCGTCACCTTTTTTTTGCGACGGCAAAAGTTGCCTTTTGTGATGGAATTCTGGTGTTGCTACTAATATGTAAAAACTTGAGATTTTTTGTGACAGTACTATTTTGCCATCGTTAAAAGTGTTATTTGAGACGACAAACAATGCCGTCGCTAAAGGGTTTTTATTGCGATGGGATACCTACCGTCGCTAAAGATTATTTGAGATGGCAAAACATGCCGTCGCTAAAGATTATTTGAGACGGTAAAAAATGCCATCGCAAAAGGTTTTTGTTTCAACAAAATACTTTTGGTTCTAATGTTTTTTGAGACGACGTGGTGCTGTCGCAAAAAAAAAAAAATGTAATAAAATTATTAAAAATATAAAAATTACCTGTATTAAATGAAAAATAACTAAAAAAGAAATCAATAATTGCATAATAATATTAAAATTTCAGTATAAAAATAATATTTCATCCATAATAAAAATATTCTTGCATTCATAACAACACATCAGCAAAATTACCCCACTACATAATGTAGTATAATACAAATATAATGTTTAAATACATAGTATTGTTCACAATTCAAAATAACGTAAATCAACAAAATTTTTCTCATGATTATTCTGTGGGTAACCAAAACAAAAATTAGTCACATTCTTCACACGCCTGCACTTCACAAAAAGCAAACTCCTACTCGGAAAATATCTGAAAACAAAAAATAAAAAAAATTAATGACAATATAATTATATGTTAATTATAACTAAATTCAACCACTTATTAACTAAATTTGCAACATGTACCTTCTTGTTACCATCAAATAATTTGCTCAACTAAGTAACAATTAGATATTATAGACATCTTGGCAATGAATATACTTACAGGATAACACAAACTTCATCATTATTTAACTCTCCAGATAAAATCATTTGTGCCACAGTAAAATCATCCATTTCTCCATGATTAATGGCAACTGAATGAAGAAAGACATTACAAAAATACTACTTAGAAAGAATCTGCCATTATGGGAAAGAGGGAAACCAGAACAAACACACTGAGCATCTTCCAAACCAGAACTTCATCACTATTTAACAAACCATAATTATTTTAAATCAACAAAATAAGGCTCTAGGAGGGTCCTGCTCGAGTGAAGATAGCTCAAACTGTAAAAAAGAAAAAAAGAGAGTATTCAAAACATATGTAAACAAAATTTCATTTGGATTTCAATCCAATCATAAGAGAAACTAGCCTCACCCTCTAGAAAGGTCCAAAGCAAGTTGAATCACAACCCCAAAGGCAAGTTTCTTTCTCCAATTCCTAATTAAGTATTTCTTTAGCGTTCCACCTAGAAGGTATTCAACAATGACACAACAAGCTCGGGAGGGAAGGGAATTATGAGCATCACTTGAAGTGTTATCGGAAGGAATCTTAAGATTTGATGTTCCCATAGAAGCTCCAATGAACTATAAAGAAAATGAGTAAGCATAATATAAAAACATATAGGAGAGAAAACGAATCATTTCACACAAGCCTTAAAAAGGAAGAAAATGAGGAGCAGTCTCAGACAACAAAGCAATTTAAATGTATTTATCAAAAGAGAGAAGAAAAAAAATTTAAGTGTGTGATGACTACAAATTAGTAGGCAAAGTCATAAGGTTATATGGCAAAATAAAGTGGTATTGCAATATAGAACCACCAGGCTTTGCATGCATGTTACAAAAAGATGAGGAGAAAGAGAAAATGAAGAAAAAAGAAAAAGCTTTACCTTCGTAACATTTGGATGGTCAAGTTTATGCCAAACAACCACCTCTTGCCGAAACGATGCCTGAAGAGCAGCAGTTTCAGCAGCTGTGGCAATACCATCCTCACCCCAATTCAATACCTTCACTGTTATATTATGAAATATATAGTTGTGAGAATATTGATATAAACAAAAATGTGTGATATTAACTAGATAAATGCAATTTCAAGGTTAAATCTGAAAGAATTAAACATGTTGATAATCAACAGTACATTGGTATTTACAATAGATTACATACACATAAAAAAAATTACAATAGATTATATATACCTAACAAGCATGAACATAAGTATAAACATATGTTATAGATACATCTACAAAAAGATGATGTAAAACTGATCATTAGACATATTCAATATGGTGTAACTAAAAATAATAGTAACTCGAAAGATATGGATTTCAAGATTGAATTTGAGAGCTTTATTATGATGGATTTGAAATGACAATATCAAATTAGTTATTTGAAATCCTTCATGCTAATGCTTATAATGGCAAAATATTTCTCTTCTTGCTTTATTCTATCTTCCATTTAGTTGGTCAATCTCTCATTGATTTTTATAAAGTTTAATAACCTCAAATGCTTCATTTGAAATCCATTTATCGAAACAGGAACCGAGTGTAAGTAGAGCAATAGATAAGCGATGTTATCATTTTATGCATTCAAAAGATTGAACTCCCTCTAACATTTTCTAGTAGTAGTGTTCATATATTTTAGATCACAAAGCATAAACTATTGAGGTGTGATTTTTATATAAAAAAAAGATAGATAAATCTGAACACCCTTTTAATTGAATGGCTAATCTAGCATTAAAAGAAAAGGATTGAGGGGATTGTAGGAGAACACATTTTGGACAAAACCTCTAACGAAGTAAGGAGGGCAATTTCTCATTCTAGACAAAAATGTACAGTATCATTACTATTCAAACAAAAAACAAAAATGAAGTATCATTTGACCCATTACAAAATAATGTTTTCACATGGAAATCATTGAAGAAAAGCAGGGGGGGAAACCAAATAAAAATTGCAATCATGGAGAATGAAATTATCAATTCAATGATCCTACTAAAAAGAAACAAACCAAAAAGTAGACTAATTAAAGAAATTATGACGAAAATAAGCATATCACAACCTCTTCAAAATTGAAAGCATTAAGTAGCTAGAGTATAGATTGTGAATTTAACACGTCTTTTAATTTGATGAGAATAAAATTAATTCCAGATTGACTAAACAGAATGAAGCATAAGTAATTGTTGAATCACCTGCAACATTTTGGCCATCATAAGTCCCCCGGTACACAGTACCATATGTCTCATCAGCAATCCTACCATAACGTGCTATGAACTTCGGTGAAGTATCAGAAAAAAATTGCTAATAAAGAAAAATTTGTACCTCAAAGTCGTTCCGTTGTGCTCCGGAGACCTCAAGTGCTTTGACATCGAAGGAATCGATCTGAGGGCCTCCCGAATAAGTCTTTGCTCGGAATTATCATCGTCGTCCGAATCCATGCCTATTCAAGGTGTCAAATCTTCATCATCCTCCTCGTCCTCGATCTCTGAGTTATTCTCGTCTTGAAATACCGATCGAGATTCAATTGAATTCATTGTCGATAGCGTCCTGTTCTCTCTCTCCGATCCATCCTCCACCATACTTTCTCTCTTTAGATTCCAAGTTGAGGCTAAGATCGATTAAAGGCCGTGCCTAATCTGTGAAAACTGATGCTCCATTTGGGTGTACGCAAGTATGAGTGTGGAGATTGGAACTCTAGAAACTGGTGCAAAGATTGGCGATTGTTAGAAAGATAGAGGGCTTTCCTATTCTAATATTTTAACTTCTTTAGGTGTTGAAAATTTCTGATCTTCATTTTGGTGCTTATTAATTTTCATTTTGGCGCCTTGGTTTTTCTGGTCACAAATGAAAATTTGAGGTAGCTTTTTGATAACGTTTACCTTTTTAGTTTATATTTATAAAATTTTTATAAATTAGTTTTTGTTTATTTTTAGAAAAACATAAATTACACATGCATTTAGTTGGAACAAAATATATTTAAAAAAATTTAAAACATAAACAAAAAAAACATGTTTGTCAAGGTTTAAAATATTTATATTTATTTTTTATTATTATTTATGACAATGGGATCATACACATTATAATTGAAAAAAAAAATTGATTGAAAAAAAATTAATTGAAAAAAAAATATTTGAAAAAAAATTAATTAAAAAAAATTGTTGGTCAAATTTTTAAATTTTTGTTTAAAAACCAATGTAAACTCATTTTTTGAGTTTATAATTTTTTCTCAAATTTATAAACCGAGACAACTATTTATAAACCAAAAAAATTATCAAACAAGCTTTTATGATAGTTCTGTAAATTTTTGTAAATATAAACTGAAAACTAAAAACGAAATGGTTACCAAATAAACCCTAAACAATGAATTCATGGCTCGTTTAATATTTTTTTTTTGCGACAAGGGTATTGCCGTCGTCGATAACCTGTATTTGCGTCGGGGGAAGGTTGCCGTAACAAAAAAAAAAAAACTCATTTTTTTGCCAAAAACCTCCGTGTCCATTTTGCTGCGCAATGAAAGCTAGGAAGAAAGAGAAACAGAAAATGAGAGAGAAACAAGAGATGATCAGCGAAAGAGAGAGAGAGAGAGTATGAGAGAGAGAGAAAAAAAAAGAGATGAACGAGAGAGATATATAGAGAGAGACATAAAAAAAAAGAGATGATCAAGAGAGACAGAGAGAGATGAGAGAGATAAAAAAGAGAGATGAGCAAGAGACACAGAAAGAAAGAGACAGAGAGAGAGACCCATTTCATTTTTTGACTTTTTTCTCTTTCAACAACAACGGGCTCAGAGAAAGAGGTGAGTGTGATTGAGAGAAACGAACGATTGAGAGAGAATAGAAATGAGTGAGAGAGAGAGACACAGAGAGAGAAACAAGATGAGCGAGAGATAGACAAAGAGAGAGAGAGAGAGACAACAAAAAGAGATGAACAAGAGATATCTAGAGAGATAGAGAGAGAAAAAAATATGAGCAAGAGAGATATAGAGCAAATAGAGATGAGAAAGACAGAGAGAAGAGCGGAGAGAGAGAGACAGAGAGAAACAAGATGAACGAGAGATAGACAAAGAGAGAGAGAGAGAGACAACAAAAAGAGATAAACAAGAGATATATATAGAGAGAAGAAAGATGAGCAAGAGAGATAGAGAGCGGGGAGAGATGAGAGAGCCAGAGAGAAGAGTGATGAGTGAGAGAGAGATAGAGAAGAGAGATGAGCGAAAGAAAGAGAGAGGCCCATTTCATTTTTTAAATTTTTTCTCTTTCGACAAGTGATTAAGAGAAATGAGAGATGAGCGATAGAAAGAAGAGAGAGAGAGAGAAAAAAAAAGAGATCGATAAATCGAGAGGGAGATCGGTAAATTGAGAAGAGGGGAATGAGAGCGCGAGCGATGTGAGCACAGTGTGGAAGAAAGAGAGAAAGAGTGATGAGTGAGAGAGAGAGAAAGAGAAAGAGAAAGAGAAGAGAGATGATCGAAAGATAGAAAGAGATAGAGAGAGACAGAGAGACAGGAAGATGAAAAAATGGGTATGGACAAAAACAAGCAAGGACATAATTCTCATTTTATGAAGTTGATTTTGGCCATGGCACTCATGTCATTGCCATGAACACTAGATTAAAGTGTTTAATGTTTGGGACCCAAAATGACGCCCCAATTTAAATGGTCAGTTTCCTTTTAGCTGGCTTCAAACAAAGAGAGGTGGCATTTCATTTTCACTGGGGAGATCCAAGTCCCATGTAATTCAATCTCTACCAAAGAAATAATTTTAACAAAAACACTTAACAAGTTATTATCTTAATTATTATATTTCAATCATGGATTAAAGTAGGAGGCAGCACGTTGGTGATTTTGGGACACCCATTGGTTAAGATAAAATCTGTCTTTACTGTTAGTTGTTAAGTTTATGTTGAGGAATTTAACAATCAATGCATTAAGGGGATTTGGTAGATCTGTAGGTGCCTACTTAGGTTTTGAGAATTGGGTGCAATGTGTAAGTGTACCTTTAGGTGGATAATAGAATCAATGGAGTTTTGTATTATGGGTAAGGGTGTGTTTGGCTATAAAGTTGGGTTGAATGGTTTGATCACTTGGATATTAAAGCAACACATTAATCTAATATGATAGGGCTTTTGTGGGTGTATGTAACACGTAAAAATATTAATTTATTTGAGGTTTTGTTTATTAGGTTTGTGTGATTAAAGTGGTGGAGCTGAGTGTTTGGAGTTAGTGTTGGAATATTGTTTTTAAGCGTTTGATGTAAGTAACCCTCTATCACTGTTGGGACATTTTTATTCCTATTGAATCGTTTAAAATTATAAGTATTTATTCATAGCCTTCATGTTCTCTTAAAATAAAATACGGGTCAAGTATAAAACAGTATCGAAAATTATTATGAAAATTATTTGAATATTTTGTGGAACTATTATGAAAATTGTACTAAATATTTATTCTGAAAATATCGAATATTTTATTTAAAAGTTGTGTATTGTTTAAATTTTGAACATCACTCTAGTCTGACTATGATTTGGACCCTAGCCAATAGGGGTTATTTATTGGCACAGAAACTAGTTTCTTTTGGGGCTTTACCACCGGCCTATGTGTGGTTCTGGGCCTTGTCACGGGTTAAGTGACCGTAGTCATTAAGACTTGGGTTTTGTGAATCAAATCATCGAACCATCTGAATATCGAACCATCGATTTGAACAACGAATTACTTTGAATTATGTTGTTGGCTTTTCATTGAAAATGTATTGTACATTGTTTATTTTTAGCTATGAAACCATCTTACAAATAATTGTTCATTTATTGAACTGTAGAAAAAAATTATATTTATTGGTTATCGATTTATTTATTTATTTTTGTATACTTGATCCAGCTAGCAGTGATGGTTGGTTATTTACTGGGCTATCTAGCTTACCCTTATTTTTTTTTTCAGATTCTGAAGAGTAGAGTTGCGCGAGATTATTTTTACATGTGGGAGTGCCGAGAATAGGACTATGATTTAAGTACTTGGATTATTGTTTTGTTAATGGATTTTATTAGTGGACTTGGTGGATAATTTAATATGATAAGAATAATCAATTTTTATGGATTTTAGCATTATGACAATTAAGGATTTAATTGGAGTATTTTACATTGTTGGTTCTGTGTTGGACTCTTAGCCTTGCATGCTCACTTAAATGAGTGTGCGGCGTTGTCACGGAGCTTGGGGCGTGACAATTTTATGGTATCAGAGCCAGGTTGTAATTTTAAAGGCTTGTATAAAATAGTGGTGAGATTGGGTAGATGTAGTATTGGGAACGCTTATAATTTGATATAATGTTAATTTTATTTACATGTTATAGGGACTTGAGAATAGAATAAGATGAGGTTTTATTATTGATGCATATAGGTTGCAATGGAACATGGGGAGACATTGGCAAATCTCGTGTGGTTAGTATAGATAGCAGGAGATTGCTTGTAGACTTGACTATTTTAGATATGCGGGACTTTAACATAATTTTTGGAATGGATTGGTTGGAAACCAATTATGCTTCTGTTGATTGTCGAGGCAAAAGGGTAGTATTTCAGTTTCCTGATCAACTAGAATTTTGTTTTGTGGGTAGTGGACTTAACACTCCTCCTTTGATAGTCTCAGCTTTGCAAGCTAGACGATTGTTGAGGAATGGTTGCGAGGGTTATTTAGCTTCTGTGAGAGATATTCATGAGACTGGATTGAAGTTAGAGGATATTCTAGTTGTAAGGGAATTTCCCGATGTTTTTCCTGACGACATACCGGGGTTGCCACCAGATAGAGAGATTGAGTTTGTCATCGAATTGATACCCGGCACGGGTCCTATCTCTAGGGCACCATATCGAATGGCCCAGCAGAGTTGAAAGAGTTGAAGGAACAATTACAAGAGTTACTAGATAAGGACTTTATTAGGCCTAGTGTTTTTCCTTGGGGTGCGCCCGTTTTATTTGTGAAAAAGAATAATGGTAGTTTTCGCCTTTGCTTTGATTGTCGAGAGTTAAACAAGGTGATAACTCGAAATAAACATCCTTTGCCTAGGATAAATGACCTATTTGATCAGTTGCAAGGAGCACAAGTCTTTTCTAAGATTGACCTTCGTTCTGGCTATCACCAGTTGAAGGTTAAGGCAGAAGATATACCTATGACAGCCTTTTGAACTAGATATGGGCATTATGAATTTTTAGTGATGTTGTTTGGGTTGACCAATGCGCCTGCAGCTTTTATGGATTTAATGAACAGAGTATTTCAACCCTTCTTAGATCAGTTTATGGTAATTTTTATTTATGACATTCTTGTGTACTCGAAGAGTAAAGGGCAGCACAAAGAACATCTGAGAATAGTGTTGCAGATATTAAGGGAGAAGAAATTATTTGCTAAATTAAAGAAGTGTGAATTTTGGCTAGAGAGTGTATCATTTTTGGGTCAGGTGATATCTTAAGATGGGGTGTCTGTTGACCCCAAGAAAGTGGAGGCGGTGGTAGAGTGGAATAGGCCTACTAGTGTCACTGAAATCTGTAGCTTCTTGGGTTTAGCAGGTTATTATAGAAGGTTTGTTGAGAGATTTTCCCAAATTTCTATGCCTTTGACTCGTTTAACACAAAAAGGGGTTAAATTTGAATGGTCTGATGATTGTGAGAAGAGTTTCCAGGATCTAAAGAGTCGATTGGTGTCTACTCCAGTACTTCTAGTTCCGTCCGGAGATGAAGGTTTTACCATCTATAGTAATGCATCGAAGATGGGTTTGGGTTGTGTCCTGATGCAGAATGATAAGGTAGTGGCATATGCGTCTAGGCAATTGAAGCCATATGAGCAGAATTATCCTACGCATGCTTTGGAGTTGCTGCAGTGGTGTTTGCATTAAAAATCTGGAGGCACTACCTGTATGGGGTGAAATGTGAGATATTCACTGATCATAAAAGTCTGAAGTATATTTTCACTCAAAAAGAATTGAAGATGAGGCAAAGGAGATGGTTGGAGCTATTAAAGGATTATGATTTGACTATCAATTATCATCCAGGAAAAGCCAATGCAGTGGCTGATGCCTTGAGTAAAAAGACCCTAAGTAATTTGGCTACCTTGATCACTGACCAAAAGAATATCTTAGAGGACTTGCGAAGGTTGAATATTGAGATTAGATGGCACAACCATGGAGCGCAGTTGGCAAACCTTAGGGTTCAACCCGCATTGATTAATAGAATTAAAGACGCTCAAGGAAGAGATCCTCAGTTGGAAAAACTTAAGGCTGAAATGGAAATAGGGCTACAGATGGAATTTTGTATGCATAAAAATGGAACCTTGAGATTTGGAGGGAGGTTGTGTGTGCCTAATGATTTAGAGCTCAAGAGAGAAATCCTGAGAGAAGCTCACAGTTCAGGGAAATTGCTCAGTATGTTGCTCAATGTTTGGTATGTCAACAACTGAAAGTTGAACATCAGAGACCTACAGGTAAGTTACAACCTTTTCCTATTTCTGAGTGGAAGTGGGAACATATTACTATGGATTTTGTGACAGGGTTGCCTAGGACCCAAGGTGGTAACAATGCTATTTAGGTTATTATTGATCGATTGACCAAATCTGCTCACTTAAATGAGTGTGCAGCGTTAGGGTTCTCCTTAGGGAGGTTTGCAAAATTGTATATCAAGGAGATTGTGAAGTTGCATGGTATTCCGATGACCATAGTGTCTGATAGAGATAGCAGATTTGTATCTATGTTTTGGAGGAGTTTGCATACAGCTTTGGGTACTAGTTTGAATTTTAGCACGGCCTTTCATCCTCAAACTGATGGACAGTCAAAGAGAACTATTCAGACTCTTGAAGACATGTTGAACGCCTGTATTATTGATCTTGGAGGTTCTTGGGATGAGCATTTGGCCTTAGTGGAATTCTCTTATAATAATAGTTATCATTCGAGCATTCAGATGGCACTATATGAGGCTTTATATGGACGAAAGTGTAGATCACCTATTTGTTGGAATGATGTGGGCGAAAGAAAGTTGTTAGGGCCTGAGATTGTGCAACAAACAGTGAACAAGATCAATCTTATTAAAGAGCCACTTCGCACTGCACAGAGTAGACAGAAAAGTTATGCAGATAACAGGAGATGCGATTTGGTGTTTGGGGTTGGAGACCATGTGTTCCTTAAGGTGTCTCCTATGAAAAGAGTAATGAGGTTTGATGTTCGTGGTAAATTGAGTCCTAGATTTGTTGGACCATTTGAGGTTTTAGATCGAAATGGAGAGGTACCTTACAGACTTGACCTATCACCTTCACTAGTTGGAGTTCATAATGTCTTCCATGTTTCGATGTTGAGGAAGTATATACCGAATCCCAATCATGTGATTGATCATGCACCGTTGCAGTTTAAGGAGGATTTAACCTATGAGGAACACCCTGTAAGAATTGTTGATAAGAAGGAGCAGGTTTTGAGGCGTCGAGTCATCCACTATGTTAAGGTTCAATGGAGCATTCACTCGGAGAGAGAAGCTACTTGGGAACTTGAGGATGAAATGAGACAAAAGTATCCACAACTTTTTGAGACTACATGTATGTCAAATTTCGAGGACGAAATTTCTTTTAAGAGGGGAAGAATGTAAAACCCAAGTTGTGTGTAGGATTATTTTATTGGATAGATTAGTAATTAAATTAATTTATATGGGTCATTTATTAATATCAAAGAATTAGTTATGAGATGGCATTATATTTTCTATTACTTAGATGAGTAATTTTGTAACTTTGAGAAATCAGGTTAATAAGCCCACCTATATATTATGGCTTTAAGTCTTGGGAAACAAACAAAACAGAGGCTGGGAATTGCTCCATAGGCGGCTAGGGTTTGAGAAGGTAAAAGAAAAAAGAAAAAAAAAGAGAAGAGAGGTTCAAGTGAGGCTGCAATAGGGATTGGAGGCAGCATGTTGGTGATTTTGGGACACCCATTGGTTAAGGTAAAATCTGTCTTTACTGTTAATTGTTAAGTTTATGTTGAGGAATTTAACAATCAATGCATTAAGGGGATTTGGTAGATCTTTAGGTGCCTACTTAGGTTTTGAGAATTGGGTGCAATGTGTAAGTGTACCTTTGGGTGGGTAATAGAATCAATGGAGTTTTGTATTATAGATAAGGGTGTGTTTGGCTATAAAGTTGGGTTGAATGGTTTGATCACTTGGATATTAAAGCAATACATTAATCTAATATGATAGGGCTTTTGTGGGTGTATGTCACACGTAAAAATATTAATTTATTTGAGGTTTTATTTATTAGTTTTGTGTGATTAAAGTGGTGGAGCTGAGTGTTTGGAGTTAGTGTTGGAATATTGTTTTTAAGCGTTTGATGTAAGTAACCCTCTATCACTGTTGGTACATTTTTATTCCTATTGAATCGTTTAAAATTATAAGTATTTATTCATAGCCTTCATGTTCTCTTAAAATAAAATATGGGTCAAGTATAAAACAGCATCGAAAATTATTATGAAAATTATTTGAATATTTTGTGGAACTATTATGAAAATTGTACTAAATATTTATTCTGAAAATATCGAATATTTTATTTAAAAGTTGTGTATTGTTTGAATTTTGAACATCACTCTAGTCTGACTATGATTTGGACCCTAGCCAATAGGGGTTATTTATTGTCACAAAAACTAGTTTCTTTTGGGGCTTTACCCCTAGCCTATGTGTGGTTCTGGGCCTTGTCACGGGCTAAGTGACCGTAATCATTAAGACTAGGGTTTTGTGAATCAAATCATTGAACCATCTGAATATCGAACCATAGATTTGAACAACGAATTACTTTGAATTATGTTGTTGGCTTTTCATTTAAAATGTATTGTACATTGTTTATTTTTAGCTATGAAACCATCTTACAAATAATTGTTCATTTATTGAACTGTAGAAAAAAATTATATTTATTGGTTATCGATTTATTTATTTATTTTTGTATACTTGATCCAGCTAGCAGTGATGGTTGGTTATTTACTGGGCTATCTAGCTTACTCTTATTTTTTTTTTCAGATTCTGAAGAGTAGAGTTGCGCGAGATTATTTTTACATATAGGAGTGCCGAGAGTAAGACTATGATTTAAGTACTTGGATTATTGTTTTGTTAATGGATTTTATTAGTGGACTTGGTGGATAATTTCATATGATAAGAATAATCAATTTTTATGGATTTTAGCATTATGACAATTAAGGATTTAATTGGAGTATTTTACATTGTTGGTTATGTGTTGGACTCTTAGCCTTGCATGCTCACTTAAATGAGTGTGCGGCGTTGTCACGGAGCTTGGGGCATGACATATATGGGCAAGAAATGTCTGCTGGTAAAGGAAAGGTGGCTAATACAAGGGGACATGAGATTTACACTATGTTCGTTGACAATATTCCATGGTCTATGAGCCCGAAGGATCTGCATTACCTGTTTGTAAAATTTGGAGTTGTTAGAGATGTGTTTATTCCGAATAAGACTAGGAAAACAAGTAGATCAAGGTTTGGTTTTGTTAGGTATGGTTGCAGTATTGCTGTATCAGTGGCCATCCAAAAGGCCAATGGGTTGTGGTGTGATGACAAAGCCATTAAGGTGAAGGCAGCGGAGTTTGAAAGAAGGGCACCGGCAGAGATTAGAGGAACAGCAGGTTTAAAACGGGTAAAGAACTTACTCGCTCCAACAGATACAACCATGTATACAAGGCGTTCAGAATTGGTAGATATTGGTGTTAAGTCTTATGTTGATGCTATCCAAGGTGGGCTGTGTCGTAAGGTGGTGAAGCATGAGATTATTGCCACTGAAGCAGGGAATGGTTGGCTATTTGACAGCCTTATTGTGAAGTTGAAAAGTCATCATATCTTCTCAGAGTTTCGGATGACAGTATTGGCTAAGGGGTCTGGTGAGGTTATAGTAAGGAAAGGAGGTGGGGGAAGACAAGCCATTGTATCATTTTCTTCTCGAGCTCACCTGGAGGAAAATCAGTTACTGATTCAGGAGTGTTGGAAGGATTGGTGTGAATCAGTAACAGAATGGAAGAAAGGGGACTATGTTGAGTAGGAAAGGGAAGTATGGATATGCTGTTATGGTGTACCTTTCAACCTGTGGAGTGTGGATACTTTTATTAAGATTGGTAGAATTTGGGGGGAGGTTATTAAGATAGATGATGAAATAGTACAATTATCATCCTTCTCATGTGGAAGAGTTAAAATAACCACTAAATTCATGGACTCTATCAATTCAAGTATTCAGGTTATCTGTGGGGCTAGGAGATACCCTGTAAGGGTGAGTGAGGAGCAAGTCATTGTGTCCAAAGTAGTGTAGGTGGATTGTAAGTGTGCCATGCATGATTGTTATAGCTCAAATAAGCTCGAGCAGATGGATGGTGAACATGGAAATAGTGATGAGGAAGATGATGCTGAGGTGGCTGGTGATGAGTCTCATGATGTGGATGGGGAAGAAGAGGTGGCAGTTGTTTAACGGAATGAGGTGTCTCTTAGTGGGGCCAATGTAAGTGAAGGTGAGAAAGTCGCTTCGTATCCATCCATTGTGGTGGATTCGGTTAGTAAATGTGGGGGAAACACAAAAGAGGCTGAGGAAGATGGACTGTTCGAGACTCAGAGAGTTAAGGGCAGTAGTGAGGATGATGAGGTAGAAAAGGTTGTCACGCCTGGGTATATGAATAGTTTGAGTGGGGATGATGTTAATAGGCCTGGAATAAATATTGAGGTTGTATTGGATAAAGCCTCATTAAGTTTGGCCTTAAGTAAGCCCAATAACAACCTAGTGAATATTGGTTCAAGTAAGCCCAACAATTATTCTGTAGCTTTGGATTAGGCCCTAAATAGTTGTTCAGTGGATCAGGCCCATGGCAGAAACTCTACAACGTTGGCTGGGGCTCAATCTGGTGGGCGGTTGTCAAATAGGGGATCAAAATCTAACAGAGCTCAATCCCAAATTAGGGCTGTGGGTGCTGTTGGTTCGGGAAAAGAAAGAAGGGAAGGGATTGCTCGTCAAAAGTAAAAGATTGTGGCAAGAGGTGGAGGATCATCATCCATGTCGAATTGGCATAAGGGTCCGGTTTTCCGTGTAGCAGCTTCTGTGCTGTCACGACCGAAATCAATTGGCCAGGGTTTATCCAAGAACACAGCTCTCATAGCTGAGGCGGTGGAAACCGTTAATCTGGGCAAAGCTTTGGGGATTGATTTTTTAGGCAACGAAGAAGAAGCGGTGCGAAGAATTGTTGAGCTTGAAGTGGAAGATGCAAGCAAAGTAGCTCAGGTGGCTACTGGTGTTTGATCATGAGCACCTATTAGGTGGAGGTAAGGTGTCTAAATGTTTCTAATGAAGCTGTTGTCTTGGAATATAAGGGGTCTTGGGCGATCTGAGAAGCGACGGAAAATTAGGAAGATAGTTCAGGAGAGGATGGTTGATGTCCTGTTTTTGCAAGAAACAAAAAAGGTTGGAGTGTCCGAAGAATTGGTCAAGTCTATTTGGCCATATGATGATTTGGAGTTTATGTCTGTTGATTCTGATGGTTTCTCCGGTGGTATTTTGTGTGTATGGAAGGCTAGTATATTTTCACTTGCTAAATGTTGTAGTTCAAGGAACTTAATTATATCAGGTACGATCCTTCCTTGTTTCAATTGTGTGTTTGTTAATGTTTATGCTCCAAATGACGTAACAAGAAGGGGAGTTGTCTGGAATGTACTGCGGAATTTAAAGTCACATTTTGTAGATCCCTGGTGTTTAGGGGGGGGGACTTTAATGAGATTAGAAGTATGAGGAAAAGGAAGGGGTGCATAAGAAGAGACAAAGGGATGAGGGAGTTTAATGAATTTATTGAGGGTGTTGAACTATATGATGTACCCATGCAGGGTAGACAATTTACATGGAGTAACTCAAGTGTGAGGGGTAGTTGGAGTAGAATAGATAGAATTTTACTTTCATCAGAGTGACTGGAAAAATTTAACTTTACGCTATGGGGTCTTCCAAGAAGGCTCTCTGATCACTGTCCTCTTCTTCTTATGGAGGATAGTAGGGATTGGGGTCCTAGGCCGTTTCGGTTTGTTAATGCTTGGATTTTGCATCCCAAGTTTTTGTCAGTCATAAAGTCTTCTTGGGTAGAATTAGAAGTGAGAGGTTGGGCTGGTTATGTTATTCAAGAGAAGCTTAAAAATCTTCGTCGGGTGCTAAAGAGATGGAATCATGAAGTGTTTGGGAATGTGGCACACTCAGTGAAGCTAGCTGAATCTGAGTTACATAATCTTGACTTATTGGCTGAATCAAGGGAGTTATCCAATGCTGAAGTAGATCGAAGGAGACAGTTAAGAAAAGAAGTTTGGTCTTTGAACAAGAAACAAGAATGGCTATGGCTTCAAAAGTCCAGGATGAATTGGAGCATGCTGGGGGACAGGAATACGAGATTTTTTCATATTGTGGCATCTAGGAGAAAAAGCAGGAACTTGCTAAATTCTGTATCTGTGGGCGGGGTGTTGTATGAGGATCCGCAAAGAGTGAAGTTTGAGGTCTTTAATCATTTCAAGCATGTGTTTTCTGAACAATGGAGGATTAGGCCTAAGCTTATTGGTCAGTTTAAATCTGTTGGTTTTGATGGTGTTGCTGATGGTCTTGAAGCAAGATTCACAGAGGAGGAGGTGTGGGCTGCTGTAAAGAGCTGTGATGGGAGCAAAGCTCCCGGTCCTGACGGTTTTAACCTTTTGTGTTTTCAAAAGTGCTGGAAGGTTTTTAAGACTAATGTGTTGAGGTTCTTCAATGAGTTTCATGAAAATGAAAAATTGGTAGGTGGTGTTAACAGCTCCTTCGTCACTCTTATTCCAAAAGTTGAGGGTCCAGTTAGCATTTCGGAGTATAGGCCAATTAGTCTAATTGGCTCTGTGTATAAAATCCTTGCTAAAGTTCTTACTAACAGATTGAGGCAAGTGATTTCTAGGATAATTGGGGAGGCTCAATCCGCTTTCTTAGGGGGGAGGAACATTTTGGAATGGGTCTTGATTTCTAGGATAATGGTTGCCTTTTCCTTGTTCTGATGAATATTTATCAAAGGTTTGGGGTGGAATATTAAGGGTTGGCCAATCAAACCCTCAATTGAAGAGTATCTTTCTTGATAACGTCAAGTTGGATGTGGAAATGGGGGAAGGACTTAGGTTTGGTTGGATCATTGGTGTGGGCATCAGTGCCTTATAGAGAAATTTCCTAGGCTGTTCAGTTTATCAACAGAAAAAGATATAACGTTAAGTGCATTGTTGGAGAGGAAAAGATTATCAGGGGTTTAGGAATTTCATTTTCGAAGAGTGTTGTTTGCTTGGGACGCCGAGGAGTTGGAAAGATTAGTCACTTTAATTAATTAGGAAGAGTTGGGGACAGTGGACAGTGAAGATTGTTTGAAGTGGCTGGCATGTTTGTCAGAACAATTCTCTATATCCTCTCTTTCAAAGGCTTTTGCGGATAGACCTTCTATTCTGAGCACTGGTCTGTTATGGCATAATTTGGTTCCTCCGAAAGTTCAGTTCCTTGGTTGGCTAGCGTGGAAAGGTAGATTGAAAACAGCAGTGTTTCTGCAAAAGATTGGCGTGCTAAACCAAAGTGCTTCCATCGATTGTGTCCTGTGCAGGAATGATGCTGAAACCATTAATCATGTTCTTCTTTGGTGCCCTTTTGTATGGCAAGTATGGTCTACAGTGTTGAACTGGTGGGGGCTACAGTGGGTTGTGCCGGGTAATGTTAAAGGGTTGCTACATTGGTGGATGGGATTTAAGTGGAGAAAGTTTGAAACTAGAATTTGAATGTTATTCCATTGGCAGTCATGTGGTCTACTTGGAAACTCAGAAATGAAGTGGTTTTTTTTGGGAAGTAGCTTTGCCTTGTAGAATTCTATGAGTTGATTATGGCTAGAGTGGCTTTTTGGGTCAAAGCTCATTCAAAGTGGTGCTCTTATTCAGTCCAAGACATCATTTGGAAATTGCAACAAATCAGGTATGTGCCTTTATCTTGATGTTATCGGTGATGTTGGGTTGCTTATATTCTCTTGGAAGATGGTGGAAGTTGGGGGTGTTAGGAATGGATTGGTGATGTTGCTAGTTTTCATTGTATGGTGGTTGGGTGTTTGTTTTATTTTTATGGTTGGGCGTAGTTCTTTTGGCTTGTTTTGTTTTTTTCTCTTGGGTGGTATCTCACCATCCTCTGGTGTGTTTTTTTCCCTTCTTTGCTGATGTGTTCATCTGTTTTGTTGAATCTCATCAATAAAGTTGATCTTTTTGCTGATCAAAAAAAAGGGATGGATTGATCATGGAAAGGAGAAAAATCTTCCTAATTTGTGTTATATTGGAATTATTCAACTAAAAGTGTGACTTGGCTCAACGGCATATGTGTATGATATGCCCATGCCTCCAACCTAGGTCTGTCAATGGATTGGATATATAATCTGAATCTGATCCAAAAATCCCAATTCATTAATGAATATCCAATCTGATTTCATACAAATCCAATTATTAATGGACTGGATTCGGATCAACACGATCCAATCCGATTACCAGTCCGACCCGAGAAATCAAGTTATGTACTGACCTTCCAAATTTAAATTGCAAGAATAATCCTATGATATTATTTGCACCATAAATAAAATTTCTGTTAATTATAAAACTTTCTATTACTTACTTTTATTATTGTTATTATTATTATTATAATTATGCAGGAAAATCTAGAAAGTTAAGAGAAGTTAAGTCAAGTTTTGAAGATTCAAGGGATGGAGGACAAGTGGCAATGCAAGAAGGTGAAAAATATATGAGTGGTTAGATGATAGTTAATAGAAGTTTTTTCCTATATTTTTTTTTTATATATAAATTGCCATTGATGGCTCTATTATAAAGGGGACCAACAAATCAATACATGACTTGGTTTTCATTTATTTTCTATCTTCGGAGTAGATCTAATCTACATAGGAGTAGTTTAAACTTAGATAGGAGTAGTCTAAATATGCTTTACTTATATTTGATCGTTCATTCAATTATTTACATCATCATCTTCTTCTTCTTTCTCTC